GGTCCAACAGATGCTGCCGACACTCCAGAACGTCGAGAAGCTACCCACGTTGAGCCCTATGGTGAGTCACCACCATAGCTATGGTGACTCACCGGGCCTTTCATCTCTGGAACCGGTCCAACGAGAGCCTCGGTGGTGGCTATAAAAGCCACCCCACCTGCAAGAAAAAAAAAGGAGAAGAGCGGACAGCCACAGCCACAGAAAGCAACGGAGACAACAACCAACAGACCAAAAAAAAGCAACAAAGAAATACCGAACAGAAAAAATAATAACAACCCTCAGCAGCAAACAAAACAGAAAGAAAGAAAGGAGAAAGAACTTACCGAGGAAACCACACGGTGACCGGAGATGCTACGGACCGAGGAAATATTCGAAATACCCGAAGGTATTTCTCTAGATCTGCTCCGATCCAGAGCTTTTTAGGGCAAACCAAAACCAGATTCGGCCTTGGGAGGTTCGGGTCTTTATTTTGGGGTATTTATGAAAAATCCGACCACCGTATATGGTAGTCGGCGACGGTGGTCGAGACCAAAGCACGGCCGTCGGCCGGAGCTCAATTCCCTCAGATGAGGGAATTGAAGAGAGAACCGAGAGAGAATGTTAAATTCTCTCTCAGTTAGAGAGAAGTGGAATGAAGAGAAATGAGGAGGCTGGCCCTTCGGGCCAGCCGTTTGGTATAATATAATCCCTCCTCAAACGACGCCGTTTTGAGGAGGGACCCTTGTGTAATTTTACATACGGGTAAAACCCTTTCCGTAGCCATCTAAATTTTGTAATTATTCATTTTAGTCACTAAAACTAATTTTTGAATGTTCTAATTCAGTATTCGAATTTTATTTTATTATGTTTTAGCCCTTACCAGTATTAAATAATATATTTAGGATAAATATCACATTTAGTCCCTAATAATTTTAATATTTCTATTTTAATCACCTATTAAATTATTAATGGCTAATTATACTACTAGTATTTATATTTTATGATAATTCTGACCATGTCTCTTAAATATTTATATTTTATAATTTGATCATTAAATTTTATATAATCTTAAATTTAACCATAAGTCTTATTATTTTTTACATTTTAGGTTCATATATTTATGAATATGATCCAATAGTTTTAATATTATTACTTTTGTTTTCTTTCATTTTAATTATTATTATTATTACTTTTGATATATGTTTAAATTATTATCTTCATGATTATTATTATTATTAAGTTATATAATATATATAATATTTATTTATTTATTCTATTGTTCTTTAAATAAAAATCCTATTTATAAATTTAATTTTATAAATTACTTTTAAGAAAAATAATCATATTTTGATATTTATTTATTTTTAATATCAAAGAAAAAGTTGTCTTAAGGTACCTAGAAGCTCTTTTCTGATATTTTTGAATAAATAAATATCTTACTATATTAAAATAAAAGGTTTTTGGTATTTATTTTTAAATATTAAAGAAAAGAGCTGTCTTAAAATACCTAGAAGCCCTTTTCTGATATTTCTAAATAAGTAAATATATTATTTATGTATATTAATATATTTTCTTAAAATTATTTGAAACAATAGAATTATGAATTAAATATATCTTTGAATTTTTACATTTCCAATAATAGAGACAATTTATAATTAAAAAGTACCAATTTTGGGCGTTGTAGGGGTGCTAATCCTTCCCTAAACGTAACCGACCACGAATCCCTTTTTATTAATAAAAAAGAATGAATTTTTGGTTAAACGCAGATCAGTTTATCTTTTAACTGATGTTTTCTTAAAAACTCTTTTAAAAGATGTTTTTTAGGTATTCGACCTACCTAACCCAAAAGGCCGATGGCGACTCCAAATTATTTAAAAAAAAAAAATAATAATAATATTTATTCACATCATTTTTCCCGTCAAGTAAATATTTCGTGCCCGGACGAAAACCGGTTACGACAGTTTGTTTCTCAAAAACATTCACAGTTGCCGCCTGAGAGCTTTCGCCTTCGCCTGGCCTGAAAGCCGGTACTTTGTTGCAGGGATTTAAATAGTGGTCTGCTATTGGAATAGCTGTTAATGTGTTTGAAACCGTTATTGTACAACTGCAATGTCCCCCAACCGCAATGCAAGCCTCTGCTTTGTTGTTGTCGTCGTCTATCTTCCACTTCCAGTGGGGGTATGAATTGGATTAATTTTCATTAACGGATATGGTGGTTTTTTGCTCTATAACTTGAATTGAATCTTCTAAGGAAATGGGTTTGTTTATTAGGTGAAGGAACACAATCTTAGTTGTTTAGTGTTTTTGTGTTAATGGAAAACTTTTAAGTTTAAGATCAATGGTGTAGTTATGCTTTGATCCTTGGTTGTCTGAGGCTTTGATAATGTAGTCTGTACTTTGTTCATTTTCCACTTTCAATGGGGATATAAATTGAATTAAATTGAATTAACGAATATGGTGGATTGTTTGCTCTATAACTTGAATTGAATCTTCTAATGAAATGGGCTTGTTTATTACATAAAGAACATAATTTTATCTGTTTAGTGTTATGCATAAACATATAACTTTTTGGTGTGGTTAGCAGCGTTAGCTTGAGTTGAGTTTTGGTTGATGGTTGTTTGGTTTTCAGATACCTTAAGTACTTGACAAAGAAGTATTTGAAGAAGCACAATATCCGGGATTGGCTTCGGGTGATTGCTTCCAACAAGGACCGGAATGTTTATGAACTCCGCTACTTCAATATTGCCGAGAATGAAGGGGAAGAGGAAGAATGAAGAATCATTTCAGTTCTTCTTTGTTAACAGTCTGGTTTGTTAGATGAGGAACTCTTTTATCTGTATTCAGATGTCAAATCCTAGGACTTGTTTGGGGTTGCTTTTTTACCCTTTAACCTTGTTTTTCAATCAAGTTTTGTTTGCCGATAGATTTTTTAGGGTTAATTGGTCATTAATGTTATTGATTTATAATAAATTGGTCAGTTACCATTAATCTTTATTATTAAGAGTAACAAAATATTAATGTGACATAACGGAATATTGATGTAACAAGTCTCGGTGATCTGACATTGTTTTACAAAATGAGACAGGCACATGCCGTTTGACTTTCCAAACTTTTGACTAAGAAAAAAAGTTTTAAAAGGAAAATCTCTTCTTCCCCGTTCTTCTCGGCCATGGACGAAGAGTGATGCAGAGCTCATGGGTTTTCTTCTCTTACATAAAAACTTGAGATTTTAAACCCTAAATTATTTCCACAATCGATGAATGAAATCTCTTGTGAATTCCAAAGCACTTCGTTTTTTTCCCTTTTCTCTTGTTGTCTGGAGACATTTCGAAGCTCTCAATGAGGATTATTATCTAATCATAATAAGTTTTAGTCGGTGACATTCTACCAAGAAATGGTGCCTCTATATAAAGTATTTACGCTCTTTTTTCTCTTTTTCATGCAGCACTAGCGACCTCCTCTTCTCCTCTTAGTCATTAGAGGCGCATTGGCTGGTCATGGTGTTTCTACTTACTTGAGCATAAAGGTGGCGTTTCTACTCTAGTAATTCATACTTGAAGATAATGGAATAAACACAAAAATAGTCTTTTCATTGATGCCACCATTACACAGACTCTACTATTAGATTTGATAGTCTTTCTGTTACACATTTTTTCTATTATGTAAATTATAATTATGAAATATTACTCATCTGAACAACCATTTGACATCAGCTATCAGGATTCAGTACCCTTGTAAAGTTTTCACTTTTTCTTTTTCAGAAATCATACAAAAATAGAAAGACCTAATTTTGATGGAAAAAAATGCTAGTATGCGGATGAGATGGCAAAAACGCTTGATCTCTTTAGTCGGGTGGTGCATCGACAACGTCCTCCACCTGGGATTGTTAAACTTAATTTTGATGTGTTTTGATCCTCTACAAAATCTGTTGGCATTGGTGTAGTGGCTCAATATTAGGTGGAATGTCCTTTTTATTTTATGCTCCCTTATCGGTGACGTCTAATAAGTTTTATGTTGAAGCTTCGAACTTGTTTAAGAGCTGTGCAACTTGTTGTAGAATTGGGTTTCTTACATGTGTTTGAAGGTGATTCTATATCGATTATTAGTAAGATAATAGCGGTTGCCCGATATCTGTCTGGGGTTGGTCCCATCATAATAGAAGCTCAAAGTCTATTATTGGTGTCCGTTGCATGCTCTTTCAACCATGTGGGAAGGGCTACTAATCACTCGATTCATTTGTTGACGAAAGAGGGATTCGAGGAGAGTGGAGAGCTTGTTCAGTTGTTCTTGTTGAGGAAGCCCCTTCCATAGTCGATTGTTCTTTATTCATGTTTACGTCAATCTTGTTCTACTTTGTTGGGATATCGCATAAATGCACAAGAAGAATACGAGTGAATACTTTCTTGATTGAATGAATTGATTCACGTTTTACGGTATGCATTACTATGGTTTTATACAACAATACAACAATCTCCTGAACTAATTAACAAACTGTAACAAATTCATAACAGCCTAGTCTTCTAGAACTCCTCCTTCTAGAACTTCTCTACACCCAGCTATACATGAACTAAACGTGAGCCATGCTTGGAACTACACACATGCACACTCCTTTCTCACGAACTGCATCATTCATTCTCTCAACATTCTCCCTGCTTCTTCCCCTCTTTAGCAAACAAACACACATTCAACTTGTCACGAAAGCTGGCAAATACAGCTTTTGCTAAGGGTTTAGTCAAGCCATCAAAAACTTGATGAGCTACTGGAACATAGCTTACACATAGCTGATTTGCAGCTATCTTTTCCCTAACAAAGTGCACATCTAAGTCGACATGCTTGGACTGCGAGTGGTACATTGGATTAGCACTTAACGCAATCGCGCTGGTGTTATCACACCATATTGTTGGCTGATTGTATTGTGATACCTTCAAATCAGTGAGCAAAGCATCAACCCATGCTACTTCAGCTGTTGTGTCAGCAAGGCTCCTATATTCAGCTTCCATGGTTGATCGAGACATCACCTTCTACTTTTTCGCACTCCAAGTCACCAAACTTCCTCCAACAAAAACATAGTAGCCAGACATCGACCGTCTATCATCTACACATCCTCCCCAATCGACATCCGAGAAAGCTGATATATACAACTTGCCTGGCACAAATCCCAGACCATAGTCCAATGTCCCACCTAAATAACGTAGGATGCGTTTAGCAGCAAGCATATGCTGCTCTCTTGGTGCATGCATATATTGGGCGACTTTATTCACACTAAAGGCAATGTCGGGTCTTGTGTGACACACATAGAGCAACCCTCCTACTAGACTCTGAAATTCTCGTGCATCAGGCAATAATTGCCCTTCATCCTTCTTCAATTGCGAGGATGCGACCATAGGAGTAGAGGTACACGAGGCCTTAGTCATTTTTACTTTCTCAAGTAATTCTAAAATATATTGCTTTTGACTAAGCACCAATAACTGATCACATCTCCTGACTTCAATGCCCAGAAAATAGTGTAGTTCCCCTAAATCCTTCAACGATAATTGATCTTTTAACAACCTGACCACTTTCTCAATTTCATTCGATGACTGCCCGGTTATTATTATCATCAATATATACTAAAATATATGTTGACACTCCACCTGCTGCCAGAACAAAAAGGGAAGTATCAGCTTTGGATTCCTTAAATCCAAGATGCACAAGACTGCTTTTTAGCTTTGCATGCCAATTTCGAGGTGCTTGGCGCAAACCATAGAGGGACTTCTGCAGCTTGCACACCAACTTTACACCATCAACTGTGTATTGTTCAAAGCCAGGCGGTTGGTGCATGAATACGTCTTCACTCATCTCACCATGAAGAAATGCATTATTGACATCGATTTGCCTCAGTGACCATCCTCCAGAGACAACAAGGGCAAGTATAATGTTCAACGTAGCAAACCACACCACTTGGCTAAAGGTCTCCTTGAAGTCTTGCCCAGGCACTTGTGAATACCCCTTAGTAACAAACCTAGCCTTGTACAGTTGAACCGTTCCATCAGATTTACGTTTAACCTTAAATAACCACTTGCAGCCAATAGCAGATCATCTTTCAGGTAACAGAACAAGCGTCCACGTGCCATTACTTCGAAGAGCAGTAAGCCCAGCATGTACTACTTCTTTCCACTCCTTGGATTGTAGGGCTTCATTAATCAAAACTGGCAGTACCTCACTTAACGAACTAGTAAAGACCTTGGGTTTAAAGACCCCACATTTGCTTCTCGTCAACATAGGGTATTGATTAAAAGAAACTGTATTCTGTTCAGCAGATGGTTGTATGTCATCATCTGCTACACCTTCAGGTACTGCAGTGGATAACTGTGTGGATTCAGGACCACTCGACTCAGCCTCGTCATTATCCATATATGAATTAGTGATATTTTGAGGAGTAGGGTCACCACCACTCGAAATGCTGGAGTCAGCACCATCAACATGTGCATGTGAAGACTCATTAGAGCGTGTGAAGAGACCAGCCATTGCTCGTATCCTCGCACGATGAGGAACAACCTGCAAGGGAGCAGACCTCCACGCACTAGTATGAGGCACATACTCAGGCTGTTTCATATCTGCAAAGGGAAACACATGTTCGTCAAATTTAACATGCCTTGAGATATATACGCGACCATCCTGAGCGAGGCATTGAAAGCCACGATGTTGCGAGCTGTACCCCAAGAAAACACAAGGAGCTGACCTAAACACTAATTTATATTGTTGAAAGGGCCTCAAGTACGGGAAACAACGACACCCAAACACACGTAGCGTGGTGTAATATGGTTTAGAGACAAATATCTTTTCAAAAGGTGAAATATTACCTAACACTTTGGTAGGCAGGCGATTAATTATATGCTCTGCAATAGCCACAACATAAGACCAAAACCGAAACGGGAGAGCAGTCTGAGCTAGCAACACGAGTGCCAATTCTACCAGGTGACGATGTATTCATTCAACCACACCGTTTTGCTCAGAGGTGTGAGGGCATGTGACTCGATGTAAAATACCGACACGAGTTAATTCACATGACAACCGTCTATATTCGCCTCCCCAATCACTCTGAACTGACTTGATAGGCAAAGAAAACTGTGTGGTGACCATAGTTTGAAACAATCGAAATACATCCTGAGCTTTGTTCTTTAGCATGTACACCCATGTATGTCGTGTACATACATCCACAAATGAAACATAGTAGCGATAGCCACAGGATAAAACATTGGCATCACCCCAAAGATCGGTAAAAACAAGTTCAAATGGAACATTGTACACAATAGCAGAAGAATTAAAAGGCAACTTGTGACTCTTTCCCATGCAACAAGCAACACAAGTGGTATTTAAATTCTTTGAAATGTTAACATTGATGGAATGACATACATCTTGCAATGTTGAAATGTAGGGTGTCCTATCGCCTATGCCAAAGGTCAAATATACTAGGACCAACAACATTAGACTTATTACACAAGAAGACTTTAGGTTCCATAGAAAAGGTGTACAACCTTCATGTTGCTGCCCTCGAAGAACCACTGCACCAATTGTTTTATCTCGAACAAAGCACTCATCAGCATGAAACTCAATGAAAACATTGTTGTCCCTAGCAAGCTTCGAAACCGGGAGCAGATGTTTCGTTATTTTGGGCACATGTAACAGATCACTTAACATTAAAGCTCGAGAGGAAGCATTCAAAACAATATTACCAATTGAATTTACCCTTAGTGACACGCCATTACGTACTAGGAGATTACCTAGGCCAGGAAATTCAGAGGAATGCATCAACTTGGATGCGTCTGGGGTGACATGGTGAGTTGCCCCCGAATCAACGACCCAATGTTAACATGCTGCCACGTTTGCTTGGGACTGACTCGAAGAGGACAGCTGCTTAGCATTGCAACATGAGCAACCTGACGAGTCGAGTGTCGCACAATTAGCAGCGCTGAAGTCATCTATGGCTCGTGATGAACCAGAACCCGCATTGACCCAAGGAAGTCTCGATCAAAGCGATACCAACACCGATCGACAGAATGACCATTTCTACTGCATAACTAATATTGAAGCCATGTACGACCTCGACCACGCCCACCAGAACGACCACCACGAGGCACCTCAGATGAGCCAGCCGCTACTCTTCCTTGAGCAATATGAGCACTCATCGGAAAGTCCTCAGGATGAGCATCAAAACTCGCGGTAGACCTTTAAGAATGCTCACGACGTGTTCAACTTGAGACACCAGACTTCCACAAGATGCAAGTGAATCACAAATTTCTTTAACTTGAGTAAGGTAAACTCGCATAGAATCCTCACCTTTCTTCATGGACTGAAGCTTGTAGTGGAGGTTCATGATTGTGGTGGTGGAGCGAGTAGCAAAAAATTTTAGAACTGTGTTCCACACTGCAGAGGCTGACTCGACACCAACAAATTGTGGCAACAATGGAGCACTAATAGTGGATAAGAGCTAGGATGCAAGGGCACTGTCTTGGGCTATAAAGTCTTCATAGGCTTCATTAGCAACAGTCTCGCCGTTTGCATCAACAACCGTCTGCGGAGGAGGTGATAACGAGCCATTCAACAACCTTTCAAGGCGGTGGCTGCGAACTGTAAGTAGAACCTGTTGTTTCCATAGAAGGAAGTTCATTTCATCGAGCACCACATTTACCCACTTATTGGTAAACATAAGGGCTGACGAGGAGGATGAATCACCAAAAAGAGTCATCGCAGCTCAGCAGAGAGCTTCAGGACCGAAAGCGAATGATACCATGTTGGTATATCGTAGAAATGCACAAGAAGAATACAAGTGAATACTTTCTTGATTGAATTAATTGATTCACATTTTACAGTATGCAATACTATGATTTTATACAACAATACAACAACCTCCTGAACTAATGAACAAACTGTAACAAATTCATGACAACCTAGTCTTCTAGAACTCCTCCTTTTAGAACTTCTCTACACCCAACTATATATGAACTAAACGTGAGCCATGCTTGGCACTACACACATGCACACTCTGTAACATCCTCAATACCGGGTTAGTGATTTAAGTGTAAGATTTATTTTAATTCAATGACCAAACTAAATAAATTGAAAGTGAAGGAATTAACTGAAATATATTGTGTAGGATGAATTAATAAGTGAAGGAGAATGAAAGGGGTAAAAAGGTCATTGATCAAAGGATATAATAAAATAATAATTTGGGGTAAGTTTATAACCATGTGAAGCATGTGTTTTGGAAACAAAAGTTTCCAGAGACATTTCTCATCTCTATCTTCTTCTTTCTCAAACGTGAAACCTAAGCTCAAGGTAAGAATCTGAATTTTTGGTTGTTTCTTTAATTTTTGGTTTAGTAATGAAAGTTTGGATGTTATATAAGCTAAAGGAAAGCTTATATGACATTAAAACAACAAGATAAGTGTTTTAGAGATGGATTTGAAGAATGTGTTTTTAGATGAAATTTTGATATGGATGAGTTTTTGAAGTTTAATAAGATTTTTGACTTGTCAATAAGTTAATTAAGGAATATGGAGTGTTAGAATTGATTAACATGTTTGAAATTTGGGTATGATTCTTAGTTTTAAGAATTTGAATGATGTATTGGAAATAATAAAGTGTGGAATTGATAGAAGTTAGTTAAAATGGTTGTAGTTAAGTTTGGTGATATGAAAGGAACTTTGTATGAGAAAATTTAATGAAGAGTTGATGATTTTCGGGTTTGAACAGTAAAATTAACAGATTATACAGAGGGAACCGATACCTATGGGGGGGGAATCGATTCCCCCTAAAGAAAAAGGTTGAAGTTTGGTTTATTAAATTAGTCTAAGTTGTTAGTATCAAATTACAAGGGTTAGGCTTCTGATGATTATCTTGAAAATTATGTTTATGTAGATATAAAACGTAATCCTATTCCGGAACAATCGAAGAGTTTAGATTGAATCAACGAAAGCAAGGCCAAGGTGAGTGCATATTATAAGTATAGTGAAATGGAATAAGACTTGTGATAAATCTAATTCCTATGTTGATTTTTATAGTACAATAGTTATGAACATGCATACATGATAATTATTATGATACATGCATAAGGTATATATGTTCATATGATTCGATAAATGATATATGTGAATAGATTCAAATGCACATGTGATATGATAAGTGATATGAATTATGTGATTTCAAGAGAAATGACATGAGCACATGAACATATGAAACATAAGAATAATGCCCATAGTATACGATATGAGAGCTATAGGTATAGTTGGCATGCCAAGAGTCGAGGGTTTCATAGGTCCATCGGGACAACTCATAGGTCCTTTGGGACATATTCACATGTCCTTCGGGACAAACTTCATATGCCACTCAGTGGGACTTATACGAGCTGTGGTGACAGCAATAGTGAACAACC